AGCTCTGCCTGGGTGCTCGCTCGCATCCTCGCACCCACCGTGTGCCCGAGTCATCGGCACGAGCGAGTTTGCCGCACGCCCCGCGTCCGCCGGCCTGCGCGATAGAGCTCATGTCCCGTGTCGGGTTGGGTCAACTCGACAACCCGACGGGTCGGACCGGTTCCTTGTTTTCAACCCGTTTGCCTACCCTGGTCGAGTTAGGGTTGACCCGATTGAACCCGAGTCAGTTCCGAGTTCGACCCGTGACCCGAAATTGACACCCCTAATTATTATCATAAAAATCGATTTCACATTTCATCATCTCTATTAGTTAGGTTATTTTGATCTTAAAAATTTATTTAAACAAATATTTTATTTTATTATTTTTCTTAATAGTAGCTATGCCATTTTTATAGTTTATTTTATTTTTTTTTTAAAAAAATTGAGAAAGCTGTTAAGTTCCTCAAAATAAATTTATAGTAATAATAATAAAAACAATCGCATTAAAAATATTATTTCATTTAAATCTTATATTTTACAATTTACTCAATTTTAACAAAAATGATAACATAGAACAAAAAAAAAGCATGTCATCAATTGAGAAAGCTGTTAAGTTCCTCAAAATAAATTTATAGTAATAATAATAAAAACAATCGCATTAAAAATATTATTTCATTTAAATCTTATATTTTACAATTTACTCAATTTTAACAAAAATGATAACATAGAACAAAAAAAAAGCATGTCATCCACGTGCCTCCGGCACATGCTCCAAAAAGGTCTTGCTCCCCGCAACCCTAAAGGTGATCATCGGTCCCTCGCCGGGGTCGAAAGTTAAACTATATTATTACCCAAAAAAATCGTATTTATTACGCCCATGTGTTCGCCGTTTCCTGTGTGGACCAACAGCGCGGCAATGGCCACGGCCGCTGCCGCCGGGAAAGTCAAGCCGGTTTCACAACCGTCAATTCCAATCGGGGACCATTCAATTTTTTTTAAACAACCGTCATATCCAACCGGGGACCATTAATTTTTTTTAAAAAAAAATTTATTAAAAAAATGGAGAGGGTAAAAACGTCTTTTGACGCAGGTATTTTAATGCGGCGTTTCGAACTGACGTGGCGGCATGGGGTGCATCACCGCCGATAAAATACCCTCGACGCCGCGGCGGCACCCCATCCATTCAATATTTACTCTTCCCCTCCCAAATGAAAATATTTTTTTGCAAAAACAATTATAAAATTATGAAGCAAGAGCTTTTATCGACAGAGCAAAGGGGCTAGCGAGCGGAAAAAGGGCAAAAGGATTGCGCCGTGTGGGATAGATCAGTCGATCGATCTCTGTATCTTGAATCCGGCGGGATCCGGCTGTCGCCGCCGCCGAGATGAACCCGGATGTGGCGTCCATGGGGAAATCGCTGCTCGAGAAGCCACTGAATCTGCTCACTGAGGACGACATCGCGCAGATAACAAGAGAGGAATGCCGTCGATTCCTCAAAGACAGAGGTTCTTTTCTGCTTCCGCTGCTTTTTCTGTTTTGTTCTTTTCTTCACTTCGGAAATCGCGGGGAGTGAGTCACTTGCGCGTGTCCTCTAATGGTACAGGCATGCGCCGACCTTCTTGGAACAAGTCGCAGGCGATCCAGCAAGTGATATCTCTGAAGGCGCTTCTCGAGGGCCGATCAGATCCAGAGGATCTCTCCGCTGCCGCTAGGGTTAGACGGAAACCGCGGAGCAGTTCGCCGACTCACGTGAGCTCCCACTCAGTAATTCCTCTTTCGGATGGGGCGCTAAGATTTTTTAATTTATTTCTTCTCCACAATCTTTTGGTAGACTTCACTGCCCTCTCCGACTAAGGACGCGGGCGGAAGCAGCGACTCACGGAGTGTACCGCCGCAGGAGAAGGATCCTTCGCCGTACCGGAGGAAAGACCCGATGCCGCCTCCTTTTACCGCCGGTGATGTGCCATGCCTTCTTTCCGCTGCTGGAAAGTCGCTTCTCCCTCAGCAGAATCACCTCCCACACCCTAGGTATTCTCTTTCCCGTTTACCTTTCCCATTGCATCAGTAGATTTCTCTTGATGCTGGCGAATCTGCTAACCTCCATTTGCTCGTCTTCTCTCCAATCGTGCTGGGATGTTCCCGCGTTCTTTGTAGGACCTTCGCCGACGAGTCTCTGGAGCAGCTCACGATATTCTACGGCGGTAAGGTCAACGTATACGACGGCGTGCCGTCGGCTAAGGTAATTGTCGCCGCCGGTTGAGCCGGCGCATCCAGACCGGTTACTTCTATGCACCTGAACCGTCTGGTTTAACTCGCAGGCTCGGGACATAATGCTGCTTGCGGCCAACCCGGATACGTACGACGCAGCGACCGTAGCGCCAATATCTTCCGGTCCGCCTTTGCTAAATCGGTTTGCTCCGGCTTACACTTCACCGATTTGGGCCGGACCGTCCACCGGCGCCCGATCTTGTATAAACACACCGGCAGGTAATCCGACCGCGGTTTATCTTTTCTTTCTTGTACTTCAGTTCGCCATATCCGTCCACCTGATCTCCATCGAACGGCTGTGATCGTTCAGGAAAGTTGCAGCGAAACTTTAAGGACAGCCTCGAGCAGGGAAGGGCCTCGCGGGAACCACTGCCTGGTAAGCAATTGGAAATTTGGCAAGGCCGTTGAGGGGTAAATTTGGAATTTTATTTTAATTTTTTTGATGTCACTGCTAATTTTAAAATAATTTTTATAATTAGTATAATATATAAGTAATTAATTAAAATTTTATTTGTGTGAGTGAACAGTGCGACGCCAATATTGGCGTCGCACTGTTCATCCGCGATCAAATGGGGTAAAAAATGGCGATCGGTTGGAGCAAAACAAGAACGGCAAACAAGTGTTTGCCGTTCGGTTGGAGATGCCCTAAGGTGGTTAACCTTCGCAGAAACGGAAATAGAGTTTGATTGGAGATTTCACTTGCATTTTGAAGTGAAAAATGGGATTTTTAGTTGGAGATGCCCTTTTAAAAGTTGAGTTTATTATTTTTGTATGGTTTCATTTGGGAAAAATTTATTTTAGCTTTTAGTTTTCTAGTATAAAAAAATTTAATTTAAAAAGCATTTATATTAAAAAATTACTATAAAAAACCAATAAGAAAGCGATCCAAGTAGAGCTTAATTAGCCATGAAGAACTGTTGAAGCAAGATGAGGCCGTCGTGGGCTTCTCTGGTGAAGGAAGGCGACTTTCGAGGGTTTGGTCGGAGGTGGGGATCCGAATTATTTTCGTTGGTTGCACGCGATGTTAATGGGCCGCGGGGCCCGGGAAAGAGCGGGGGTACCCCACGGGCTGACGTGACTGCCCCAAATATCGGTCCTGATACGTGGGTCCGGCATCATTTTGTCCGTTGATTATATGGTCCCTACTCTGACTTGACTCTTCCAGTTGAGCCATCTTTGGGTTTTGGAATCTCTACTCTCTCTAAGAAATGTCTTATCTGCCCTAAGTACTCATCATCCGCAAATTTTCTGCTAATTTCTCGTTTAGAGCACCTGCAGAAATTATCCACCGTAAAAGTTTGGTTTGGGATTATTTTTTAACTGCTTTGGAAAACAGTTTTTTTTGGTAGAAAAAATTTAATTTTTTTTATTAAAAAGCAGTTTTTTAAGAAGTCATAAGAAAGCCTGGGCTTGGTTTGGGACTTCTTTTTTATTGCTTCTTAAAGTAGTTTTTTAATATAAAGATTAAATTTTTTATACTAAAATGATGTTTTAAGAAGCAGAAAAAAATCCGAAATGTGAAATTCTCGACTAAAACCAAATTTAGCTAGTTTTGCTTTCTGTTACTTTTATATGAGCTGGTGGATTCAATTATATGAGCTTTCTAAACCTTAAAGTTGCATGTTACTTTCCAAAAAGTCCATCTTACTGGTTATCTATCCGTCCATGTCTTGGATGTAGAGGACTCTCTGTGCAAGCTCAACTTCATCCAACTACTCATCTTTTCTTTGTACGCCTCCTTTACCCAAATCTACCCACCAACCCTACCCCCTTCTCTCTGTGGCCCAATCTTTTTTATGTCGCTGTGATGCGTTGCTTTTGGATATGGTGGAACGGATTGTTTCAATCAGTTCATTACTCACCAGTCATATCTAACAGCTATAGGATAAGTAAAGAAAGGAAGAAAAGAAGGGTAGATCGGATTTTCTCTGTTTTGGTGTTAATGAAGTGAGAGTAATTGCAAATGGACCACCGTGGACCTGGGGGCATGTGTTGTCATTGATAGAGCCCCTTGCTTCTTTGACGGTTGGCCCTTAATTATAGTATTAATTTCTTCTCGTGTACTTATCATCCTGCATGCCACTGCGAACCCCTTAGATAATACATGCAAGTTTCCTTATCCTTATGAAACTTTCAGAATACCAGTTTTCCTAACCCCCTGAGGTTCTAGTACTTAATATAGATGATTTTATATGAAGGTCTTAACATTGAAAGAGTCTCATAGTGGATTTATTATTCTGTGCGGAGTCTGGAGGGGATCCGGAGACCAATAAAATTGAGTCACGTCACATCATTGCTGGGTACCCAGTTCTGTACCCGCACTCGCACCCTTCGGTATTGTTGAGTACCCATTGCTTAACCGGACGGTTCTCCTGTTCGGTATACGTACAGAATAATAACTCCTCACTCCTCATAGTGAAGTCAATAAGTGCCTATAAATCTAATATATTTTCTGTTAAAATTTCTAACTTGCTAATGTTTAACTTGATTGTCACAGAGTGTCCAACAAGTAGAAAAGCATCATTGAAACGGTACCTGGAGAAAAGAAAAGACAGGTACAACTTGGTTTATGCAAATGAATCATTGAACACGGATCATTATCTTTATAATAATGACATATTTCCACTAACTTTGTCTTGTTGGAAGGTACAAGGGGAGACGAATAATTGAAGGATCATCTTCGTCAGGCATGGAGGTGATGTACTTTAGTCAAAAATTCTGCGGGACGGGGCAAAATGAACTGTCAAGCAGGAGCAACAGTAGCTCATCCATGCAGCCCAGGCCACCTTACCCGCCACTTAGTAGGTGCACATCCATTGAAGCAAAGAAGCTTGGATTCTGTGTTGATCTCAATGATGATGGTAATTAAAAAAATATTGGTGAATCTTATAGTTGCTGGATGGTTTATTTTTTAGCTTAGGACGTGCCATGTCACATAAATTTTTAGTTTCTATCTCTAGTAAAATCGGTAAAGTTTTTTTACTAGGCCTATGCATTGGTAAGTTTTGTACCTGTTTTTTATTGCTAGCACCTTGATTAGACTTGTCGGACTTTCATTGGTGAATTCTCTGTATCATTTTGCAATTTTCCATGCTTTTGCAGATTCTTGACCTCTACTGACCTATTCCTCTACTCTGCTACTGTTTTCCTTATATATATGTATATTGTTGGATATTTTTTTAATGTTTATGGTTGCACTAATATTCTTAATTTTTCATGAACTTTGAATGAAGCATACCATCAATGTAAATCCTTTACTTTTGTGTTAAAACATAATATTAAATCAATTCACCTTGCATCTTTTGTTAATGCATCTTGTTAATATCTGGTGGAATTCAGCTTTCTTTGAAGCTCAAATTACAGCTTTTCAATACATCTTTGCATGAGTTAGATAGTGAGGTTAAAAAAGGAAAGCTCTTGGTACCTCTTTTTTTAATGAATCCAAGAAAGCAGATTTCATGGAACTAACGTTTTGAATAATGCTTATCCATTTTTTGTCTGTGATTCCAATTAGGAAATAGCTTTCGGAACATCTACTTTTGGAGCTAAAAATGTTTCACTACAAGAATGTTTTTAAGTTTCTTTTTGCCTTCCCAGTTCTGGAATATGTTTTTCGCTTGCAGAAGATTGATGATTGTCTTAAGATTTATTTGAGATGTCTGAAGCTTTTTATAAAGTTGGTTGCAAGGATGTGAAGTTGTTGCTCGAAAATCAACTTAAGCTATTCTTGTTGTAAAAAAACAGCTTTTCAATATGATTTTTTTTTGAAAAGCACTAATAAAGCAATAAAAATGCAACAGTCAAATGAAATTGTGGTTGATGTCTGTAAAGCAAATCAGTGAGAAAACTTTTACATAGAAACTCCACTCAAGGCTTTCGTTTGGGACTGATATCTAAAAAGCAAAGCAGTGAGAAAACTTTTACATAGAGATTCCTCTCAGGCTTCGTTTGGGACTGCTTTTTTACTTCTTTTTATAAAACAATTTTTAGTACTAGCTGCTTTAAGCAATCAGCAGTAAGAAAGTCACCCCAAACAAATCCTTAATCTATTGATTTTAAGCATAATGTCCCTCTCATACAACTTCAACTGGCTACAGTTTTTCTATTCTCTTTTTTCTTTTGCTGTAGCAACTCTAAATTTGCAAATTTATATCTTAAACCTTCCATTCTTGTGAGTCGATAATACAGACTGTTGCTTATTTATGTTTTGATAGGTGCTGGTGGCAACTGAAGGGGGTGGCTGGTGGGACGATGACACGCAACCCAGCACACCAGTTCTCTTGCAAATGCGCCTCCTTTGTTCATGAGTGGCCCTATTGCAGTTCCATTGATGGCTTGAAGAAGCTAAAGACCAAGTTCTCCATTTTAACTGTTTTGGCGCAACAGATTCAAGTGCTCTTGAGTTTGCAGCCGAATGAAGACTTCAATCACAGTGGTCTGAACTTCGGCCCCAGAAACCCCTTTCATGCCAATACGATCAGAAGAGCTACAGGAGCACCAGCTGGGATTCTCTTGAGCCTATTCTCAGGTGATTCTGAGATACAAAGCTAAACTCCTTATTTTTCATGTGAAGGTGGCTAAAAGGCATTAGATTGGCTTGTTTTGTTGCATAATGAAGTTGCCCATCTGCCATTCTTTGCCAGCTACCTGATAGTTTTTTGCGCTGTAATTTTGGATTTGAAATTATCATTTAGTTTTATTGAGTTTTTGATTATTTTTTGCTTTAAAAATTTTTATTAATTTTGAAAAAAAGTTTTTTTTTGATCAAATTTTTAGACTCTTTGGACTTTAAAGGCTGATTCATTTTGAGATGTTTATAAATAACATTATGTGTATTGTTCTATCATTTTTATGGTTAAAGACAACCTTAAACAATTTTGTTTGTAACTGATTGTTGCTGAGGATGAACTTAATTAAAAAAGAAATAAGTTTAGAGTTTGGGCCTATTTGATTGGCTCGGAGCTATAAACTGGTTTGTGGTAATGATGAAAATTATTATATTCAACATGTTATTAAAAATATACTTTGATTTAAAATTTTATATTTCTATTGAATAATATCTTACAAGAGCGTTGGGTGATTATTTTTAGAAGAACAATTCTTGTAAGTGGATAATGATGCATTAATGCTTCGTTAGGATTATTTTTTTTTTATTTTGTAAAGTTATATATATATATATAAAATGTTGATATAAAGTTGGTGAAATTATTTTATGCAAATGAATGCTGTTCAAATACAAACGAGAATGAGCTACGTTGGTACTGAGATTCGGTTCTGCTCGGTATTGCATTTGGTATTGCTGATGTGTTTCATTTTGGTTGGTCTCCGGATGTAGAGCTGCATTTAGTGTTCACACATAATAATTTTTTTCTATAGGTGTAACAAAAGAAGCCTAACATTTTGTTTTCCACTTTAATGTTGAATTCATGAGTTGTGTCATGGAATTAGCCTTGTTATTCTGTTTTTTTAATATATGTTTTGGTTGATTTTGGTGGTATGTATCAATATTATTGGTAATGGTTAAACCCTCTTAACAATATTTAAACTAATTTGACCAAAAGTGAAATAACTCTTAGTTTAAACATTTAAAGTTAAAAAATTTTTGTATTAAAAAGTTGTTTTAAAAAATAGTAAGAAAGGTGTCTCAAATGAAAGCTAAGTGAGTGCTTTAGGTTCACTTGAATTAAATTCAACAAATTTAAATCCATACTTTTCCAAATCTTGCTAAAGTGCTAGAAAGTCCCTAAAATAGCTGCCAAAACTAACTTTGTCCACCCAAATTTGGTATGTTGAACTCAATTAGAATGATAACTGTTGTGCAAACAATTACAATAGAAGTAAAATCAATCTCACAATACAATTACAAAGAACATGATGATTTTCGTGGTTTAATGAAGATGCCTATGTTCACGGGGAAATGATGATTTTACTAAATTGGTGAAGTAGAAATTACAATAAGCTCTCTTTCTCTCTTAACAATACAATAGCCCTTTCCCCATTTAAATAGAATTTGAGGCAAACAATTTAGGAAAAGCTTCTTGAACTAATCTCTAATCAAATCTCCATTCAATTCAAATAATTAAGAAATAATCAATTCCCTAATCACTTAGCCATTAAAACTTTACAAATAAAGCTTTATTATGATTTGCAAATAAATCCAAATCAACAATATTATGATTTGAAAATAAATTCAAATAAACAATCTCCACCTCATCTTTCACTTCAAAAAAGGGAAGATGATAATTCGGGCTCCAATATTAGAACGACTGCACCTAGATGGTTGTCTACGTACCCCCCCCCCCCCCCCCCCCCCGCAAAAAGACGGCGGGTGTCATAAAAACACGGGAGAAGTAGTTCTTCAAACAAGTGGATAATCAATTATGAATCCTACACTGACTGCATCTCCAAATGTACCCTTTAGATACCTCAGGATACTCTTCATAGCTTGCCAATGACTCATTCATGGATCATGTATAAACCTGCTCACAATGCCAACTGCTTGTACAATATTTGGATCGTGTTGCTTCAAAATCAGACCAAATTATTGCTACAAGTGCCAAGTGACCATAGGTTGAGGGATTGTTAACCATTGGGAAGAACATCTTATCATAAGTAAGGGTGTCAATTCAGGTCAACGGGTCGGGTTCGGGTCGAACCGAACTTGACCTGACCTTAAACGGGTCAACCCGAACCTGACCCGTTCTTACAAACGGGTCAGGTTTTTCAACCCGGACATGACCCGCGCGGGTTCCTTGGTTGACCCGACCCGACCTGGGACCCGTGTTGAACTGTCGCGTGGCTGTCGCGGACAGGAGAACTCGGGTGAGTGGGCGACGTCAATGTCCTCGAGTAACCGCGGACCTCTAGCGCTAGGCTAGCGCTGCTGCGCTGGGCGAGGTCTAAGGCCATCAGGCTAGCGCGTGGCATGGGTTACGGCATGAGTGTGTAACGCCTTGACCGCGGGTGCGACCGTGTGAGACCAGTCGCCAGTGTGCCATGCCGGAGCGGGACCGGCAAGCCACGGCTGCGCTTGTGTGACGCACGCCTTGACCGTGGGTGACGCCTCAACCGCGAGGATGCGGATGGATACGCCGACTGCCCGTGGAGGCGGGTTGCTACGGGGACACATATTGATGGCGGGTCAAATCCGGGTCAATTTCGGGTTGGCGGGTCAACTCGAACTCGACCTGATTTTAAAAATGGGTTGAAATCTTAAACCCGAACCCGACCCATATAGCAGATGGGTTGACCCGAACCTGAATTTTTTTGGGTCGGGTTCGGGTCAGGTCAAATATTGACACCCCTAATCATAAGCAATATCTTTCCATTGCGCAGAGCCTTTTGCCACTAACCTAGCCTTATATTGCACATCAGCTTCGTGAGATCATTCCTTGTTTGCACGCATCCATTTACACCCAATGGCTTTTCTTCATAGGGGAAGTTTCTCCAACCTCTAAGTAGCATATTTCTGAACAAACTCCATCACTTCATCCATAGCCCTCTTTCAAAGATCACAGTCAAGACTGTCCGCCGCTTCCTTATAGTTAATATGAACTTTAGCCTCCGTGGTTGAAAGTATAAATGCAATGTGATCCCTCAACCAAGTTAGTTTTGAGACATTTTGGTGCTTGATCCTATTATTCGCAATAGATTCATGAGTAGGAATCTCATCATCAAAATCATCTTCAACCTCCTAATTTGCCGATGAATTAGGTGCCTAGGTAGAAATGGCATGCCTTTGTGGAGCAAATGGAGTTGCATCAAACTAACTATTGCAGTGTATCTGTGGCCCAATAGAAGTCTCCACTTACTTTGAGTCTTAAGGCTTTAACATGCTTGCCTCATCAAGAATAACATCACTTCTAATGACAATCTGCTTCTCTAGCAAATTATAGAGTTTGAAGCCCTTGACTTCACACATGAAACCAATAAAGATCTCCTTCTTTGCTCGTGGTTCCAATTTATCATTATGAGCATGATAGTAAGTTGGATACCCAAACACTCTCAAGTTCTCATAAACTCTAGTAGGATGCACTGACCATATCTTCTTTGGGGTCTTCTTCCCAATATCCGCAGAAGGCGGACGGTTCACCAAGTGACAAACATTGTTTATTGCTTCAGCCCAATAGACTCCATCCAACCTAACATCAAATAACATACACCGAATTTTCTCCACCAAAGTCTAGTTCATTCTCTTTATCATCCCATTTTGTTGCGGTGTCTCTCTAACTGTGAAGTGATGTTCTATTCCAGATTTGTAGCACTCATATAATAATGCATTCGAAGTGTATTTGCCCCCATTGTCTGATCTAATACATAAGATATTTTTGCTTGTATGTGTCTCAATTCACTTCTTTCATATCCTGAAAATCTCTAGTACCTTATTCTTGCTCCTCATAGTGTATGCCCAAACATATCTGGAGTAATCATCAATAAAAGAAACAAAGTATCGCCGCCCATCGAATGATGTTGTCTTCTTTGGGCCCCAAGCATCTATACGAACATACTACGGGATGTCCTTTATACTGTGGATGTCAGTACCAAATGATACACATGTTTTCTTTCCAAACACATAATGTTCACAAATATCTAGCTTGTAGGTGCTTGCTCATTTAATCAATCATTGCTTCACAAAATCCATAAGAGAAGGCTCTCTTGCATAAGCTTGCCGCATATGCCACATTATAGTGGCATCAAAAGAATCATCATCTACAACAACCAATCCAATCACTATTCTTCCCTAAAGGCAATAAACATTATGATGATGAACTCTTTTCAGATAAATCAGTGCTCCATGATATATCTTCAAAATTTTTATCACAATCACTACCTTGTAGCCCTTGGTCTCTAAAGCCCCAATAGACGACAAATTCTTTATGATATATGGAATGTGCCTCACTTCAATCATCTCTCTCATAGTACTATTATGCATTCTGATGAAGATACTCCCTACACCAACTATATGATAGGCCTGACTATTTCTCATGGTCACAACACCACTGTCAAGTTCCTTTGTCAAGTTCCTTGTAGGTACAGAACCACTCTCTAGTGAGACAAATGTGAGAGGTAGCACCGTATCACCATTATCCAAAATCCAGCATAAACTATTTGAATACAAACTCCGAGAAACTACATATAATGGTGCATCTTAATCTTTGTCACACACTTCCATGCTAAAGTTAGCCTCAGTGGAAACTCCATTTCCATTTTCCTTTAGTTTAAGTAATCTTTCTTTCAATGATCAGTCTCCAAGCATAACACACAATGATTCTTCCCAAGACTGTGCACACGAGATTTTCTTCACTTTATGCAACCCTTTTTCTTCTTCTCAGATCTTTCTAGTTTGAGTACTAAAGCCTCAGCCAAGTCCATCTTTGCAGATGCCTTGTCCCTACGCAGGAACTCGTGATTCAGCAATGCAGTATACACCTCACTATAGTTCAAGGCATACTTCCTATGATTGAGCGTCATCGTGAACATTTCGTAATCCTTCAAGAGCGAGTTCCACGGAAGGAGTGCCTTGTCTTCATCTCCAACAAAAATTAAATTTTTTGTTCCAAAAATTTACTCTAAGAAGCAGTGAAAAAATCTTCCCAAACGAAGCCATAATATAACAAATTGTTGATTATGTAGTTGGATGTATTTATGATACTAAAGCTTATTGAAATGCTCCCCCATAATCTAAGTTGTTAGTATACTTGGTGCCTTTAATTT